TGTGTGTGTGTGTGTGTGTGTGTGTGTGTGTGTGTGTGTGTGTGTGTATCTGTGTGTATTATATAAAAATACCCTTCTGGAAAGAGTGGCCCATATAGACATGGTAAGCATTTATGAATTGCAGTCCTAACGTCCACTCCCCTCTTCACTCCAGTTTTCTCAGGTATAGTCTGAGGACTGACCCACTCTAGTTTTACCAGGGGGCCAAAGAAGGCTAAGACCAATCAGACAGCTACCTCATCTATGTGCTTACTTCAGGGATGACAAATAAGGTCAATTCGACCAATAAAACTGAAGAACAGGACTTCTGATTGACATATTGAGGAAACAGTAATCCCTTTTCCACTCAATGTAGCGCTGGAGCTGCTGGCAACCAACACGAAATAATAAGAGAACAGACACAGAGCAAAGAACCACACCAAGGAACTGAGCCAAGAAATGGAGGAGGAGATAAATCAGGGTCTGAAGTCACATGAGCTACTCATTCAAAGATGTTATCAAATGTCTGCACAGCATCTAAAATGGACCAAATACTATGCTTAGCACTTTCCATGAATTAACTCATTTAATCTTTACAGCAACCTTATGGAGGTAATTATTCCACTCCCTCCTTTTTAAAATGAGAAAGGAGGGATGCCTGGGTGGCTCAGTCAGTTAAAAGCATCTGCCTTTGGCTCAGGTCATGATCCCAGGGTCCTGAGACCAGGTCCTGTACTGGGCTCCTTGCTCAGCAGGGAGCCTGCTTTCTCCCTTTGCCTACCTTCTTCTCTCTCACTCTCTGACAAATAAATCTTTAAAAAAATAAAATGAGAAAGGAGGCACATAGGAGTTAGAGAATTTTCCAGTGGTCATAGAGAAGGGCAGCAATTCTTAAGCACTTTGGTCTCAGAACCCCTTCACATTCTTAAAAATGATTTTAAAATTCATACGGAAAGGAGAAAGACTTAGAATAGTCAAACAACTTTGAAAAAGAAGGAAAAAGTTGGAGGACCTTTATTACCTGAGTTGAATGTTTATTATAAAGCTATAGTAATGGGTACCTGGGTGGCTCAGATGGTTAATCATCTGCCTTTGGCTCAGGTTATTACCCCAGGATCTTGGGACAGAGCCCCACGTCCTGCTCCCTGCTCTGCGGGGAGTCTGCTTCTTCCTCTCCCTCTACCTCTCCCTGTGCTTATGCTCACACACTCTCTCTCTCTCTCAAATGAATAAATAAAATCTTTAAAAAATAAATAAATAAATGAAAATAAAGCTATAGTACTCAAGACAGTAGGGTTGGCATCACATAGCTAAAGACACAGATCAGCAGATCAGAATACAGGATCCAGAAAGACTCACACGTATGCTTAATTGATTGAGGACAAAGGCACAACAGACAACACAGTAGAAAAAGTCTTTTCAACAAATGGTGGTGGAATAACTGGAACATTCACATGCAAAACAATGAGCTCTGATACTTTATACTATATTTAAAAACTAACTCAAAATGAATCATAGTCCGATGAAAGACCTAAATGTGAGACAGAAATCCATCAGAATCCTAGAGGAGAACACAGGCAGCAACCTCCTTGACCTCAGCCACAGCAACTTCTTGCTAGACACGTCTCCAGAGGCAAGGGAAACAAAGGCTAAAATGAACTATTAGGACTTCACCAGGACAAAAAACTTTTGCACAGCAAAGGAAACAGTCCACAAAACTAAAAGGCAACCTACCAAACCATATGGGGGAAGATAATGCAAATGACATATCAGATAAAGGGCTAGTATCTAAAATCTATAAAGAACTCATCAAACTCAACACCCAAAAAACAAAATATCTGGTCAAGAAATGGGTAGAAGATATGAACAGACATTTCTCCAAAGAAGACATACAAATGGCTAACAGACACATGAAAAAATGCTCAGTATCAGTCATCATCAGAGAAATACAAATCAAAACCATAATTAGATACCACCTCACACCAGTCAGAATGGCTAAAATTAACAACTCAGGAAACAATACATGTTGACAAAGATGCAGAAAAGGGGGAACCCTCTTATACTGTTGGTGGGAATGCAAGCTGGTGCAGTCACTCTGGAAAACAGTATGGAGTTTCCTCAAAAAGTTAAAAATAGAGCTACCCTAAAACCCAGCAACTGCACTACTGGGTATTTATCCAAAGGTGATCTGAAGAGGCACTTGCACCTCAATGTTTATAGCAACAATGTCCACAATAGCCAAACTATGGAAAGAACCCAGATATTCATGAACAGACAATTGGATAAAGAAGATATGAGGTATATATACAAAATGGAATTATTACTCAGCCATCAAAAGGAATGAAATCTTGCCATTTGCAACAACCTGGATGGAACTAGAGTGTATTATGCCAAGTGAAATAAGTCAGTCAAAGAAAAACACCATACGATTTCACTCACATGTGGAATTTAAGAAACAAAACTGATGAACATAGGTCAGGGAAGGAAAAATAAAATAGGCTAAAAACAAAGAGGGAGACAAACCATAAGAGACTCTTGACTACAGAGAACAAACTGAGGGTTGCTGGGGTGGGGGGAGGTTGGAGGGATTGGATAACTGGGTAATCAGCATTAAGGAGGGCACTTGATGTAATGAGTACTGGGTGTTATATGCAACTAATGAGTTACTAAATTCTACCCTGAAATTAATAATACATTATATGTTAACTAACTTGAACTCAAGTTAAAAAAAAAAAAAAAAGAATCATTGTCCTAAAAGTAATAGCTAAAACTTAATACACTTCAAGTACAAAAGAGGAGAAACCTTAGTGACCCTGGGTTTGGCAAAGATTTTTCATATAAGACACAAAAAGCACAAACAATGAAAGAAAAATTTATAAATTAGACTTCATCAAAATTAAAAACTTCTTCTCTTCCAAAAACACCACTGAAAGAATGAAAAGACAAGCCACAGATGGGGAGAAAAATAAGTGCATGTCCCATATCTGATCTAGAACTTGAATTCACAGACCCTTAAAACTCAATAGTAAGAAAAGAGCTCAACAAAACAATGCACAAAAAATATGTGAACAGGCACTTCATCAAATACTATGTGAGTGACAAACAAGCAAATGAAAAGATGTTCAATATCAGTAGTCATTGGGGTACCTGGGTGGCTCAGTCGGTTAAGTGTCTCCCTTCCGCTCAGGTCATGATCCTGGAGTCCCAAGATCAAGCCCTGCATTGGTCTCTCAAAATTCTCTCTGCTTCTCCCTCTTGCTCTGCTCCTCCCCTGTTCATGCTTTTCTCTCTCTCACACACACTCTCTTTCAAATAAATAAATAAAATCTTAAAAAAAAAAATCAGTGGGTGGCCCTGTCCATTAAGCATCAGCTTTTGGCTCAGGTCATGATCTCAGAGTCCTGAGATCAAGTTCCGCATCAGGCTCCCTGCTCAGTGGGGAGTCTGCTTCACCCTCTGCCCAACCCCCTCACCCCGCACCTGCACCCCAGCTGCTTGTGCTCACACCCTTGCTCTCTCTTTCTCTCTCTCAAAAATAAATAAATAAATAAATTTTTAAAATAAAACAAATATATCAGTGGTCTTTAGGGAAATGGAAATCAAAACCCCAACATACCACTATGCACCTATATGAACAGCTAAAGTTAAAAAAAGAAGAACCAAACAACTTTCAGTAAGAATTTGAAACAATTCATCCAGAATTAACTATACTTAGTCCATAAACTATATTCCTACATACACAGTTCTGATAAACATTTTATCAGAAACAAATTAAATTAACCATAAATATAAGATTTGCATTAAAAGATACCTCCAGTAGTACTGAACTAAAGATTAATTTACTTACTGTGTTTTTGGATGGCTCCCATGCAGCATCGACCTTCCCCACATCTTGCATATCTTGGAGCTGACGTAGTTGAGACAAGGTGTGATGCCTCAGAGCTTCATGCAAAGGAGTATCCCCATCCTTATCCTGAATATCTAATTTGGCACCTGCACGGACCAAAAGCTAAAAGAGAAAGGCATCTCATTTTGCTAAGGTGTCTCTGGCCCATAAGAAATTACTACGTATCTAAAGTAACAGACAAAAATCAGAGAGGGAGACAAGCTGTAAGAGACTCTTAACTATAGGAAACAAACTGAGGGTTGCTGGAGGAAAAGAGAGTGGGGGGTGTGGTAACTGGGCAATGGGCATTAAGGACATGTGATGTAATGAGCACTGTGTATTATTTGCAACCGATGAATCACTTAACTCTATCCCCTGAAAACTAAACTAAACTAAAATAAAATAGTAACAGTGACAGAGCCCCAGACCTACCTGAAGGGGATTGCCACTAAAGCTAATTATCTTTATATATTCACTTGCTACTCTCAAAATTCCTGGGGCTCCTTTACAAATAGTGATGAGCTCTGTTTACTCAAATATATTGAATCAGAGAAAACAGAAAGAAATGAGAACCAGTATGTGGCTTAATTCATCAACTCTAAGATCAAGATAACTGGGAGAAATTTAGGACTTTTTTTTTCTCCTTTTATTTTTTTATTTTTTTAAAGATTTTTTCTGGGCACCTCGGGAGGCACCGTGAGTTGAGCATCCAACTCTTGGTTTTGGCTCAGGCTGAGATCTCAGGATCATGAGATTGAGCTCCACACTGGGCTCTGTGCCCAGTGTGGAATCTGCTCAGGACTCTCTCTCCCTCTCTCTTGGCTCCTGCCCCCTGCTCACTCACTCTCTCAAATAAATAAATAAATCTTTAAAAATAAAAAAGATTTTGTCAAGTAATCTCTACAACCAATGTAGGGCTTGAATTCACAACCCCAAGATCAAGAGTAGCAGGCTCTACCAACTGCGCCAGCCATGCACCTCCTTTTTCTCCTATTAATTTCAGATATGTGAGTTGGGATATTTTAAGTACTTCCAATAGGACCAAATCATAAATGTTCACAATTCTTCCATTACTTAAAGAAACAAGCAAGTTATCTATTCCTTATCTATTCCACTCTCTTTGGTCAATTTTCTCCAAATGTATAGTCATAAGGAAAGTCCAAAAATCCCAGATAAATGATGAATTTTTAGCAAGAGGAATTTTATTTTTTTAGTATTTAAATTTTTTTTAATTTTAATTCAATTATCAACATAAATGTATCATTGGTTTCAGATAAAGGTCTGTGATTCAGTCTTATCTAACACCCATTGCTCATTACATCATGTACCCTCTTTAATGCCCAGCACCCAGTTACCCCATCCTGCCACCCTTCTCCCCTCCAGCAACCCTCAGTCTGAGCAAGAGGAATTTTAAATAACAATAAATGTCAAGTGTCTCCTAAACTACATCTTAAATAAAATGAATAATTGATACACCTCAAAGATATTTTAAGCAGTAAATATAACTTTTTATTTAAGACTTTACTTACGGTGCTTTACTGATTTTCCTAATCCTTTCAACAAATGCTGTCAGAGTTTTAGAAAAATATCATACACAGAAGCCAATCTCAAGCATATGGTCTTACCTATACTGGCAAATTACTGTTTTGGGGTGGTCTGTTTGTTTTGTTTTGTTTTGTTTTGTTTTGTTTTACTTTGTTCCAAAAAGCTTACATAAAATGTCACTCTAGGACAGTGTTTCTCAAACTTGAACATGCATGAAAATTACCTGGAGGACTTGTTAAACCACAGATTGCTAGTTCCCACCCCTGGAGATTCTGATTTGGTCGGTCTGAGGTGGGGCCCAAGAATTTTCTACCAAGGTCCCAGGTGATGCTGATGCTGCTGGTTCAGCTTCTAAACTTTAAGAATCACTGCTCTACAAAAAAATTTTAAACCGATAATCTTTCAAATATTTTCTCTGGAATATCAGGTTAGTCAAATAAAAATATATATTTCAGCTTTTTTGGAATCTGTGCAGCAAACGTCTAGCCAAAGCTTTTAACTGTAGTTCACTCTCAATTATATAAATTAAGAGGGAATGTACTTTTTAAAAACCAATTTATATGTTACTTTGAAATTTTCTGATTTAATATTTTGGGAAGTCAGAAGTCTGACAACAAAATTATATAACAGACTTTGAATAATCACAGTTTTAAGATTTTCTCTATTATAAATTAAAACTCTTTACCCAACTGATGCAAAATATTAGCCTAAAATAATGACTTTAAGATCTAACTATGCCTTTTGAAAAATCGAACTTGAATAATTTTCAAGACCTTCTAGAAATCTGTCTGGTTAAAACACAACTACAAGGTAAAAGTTTTGTTAGTAAATACTTTACCCTCACAATCTGTGTGTGCTGTCGTTCAACAGCAAGGTGCAGGGCAGTTTGCTGGTTCACATTCTGGATATCCAGGTTAGCGTTACCCTGAACAAGAAGGACAAAGTTTACATACTCATAATTTGACAACCATGAACACTAAAACTATAACTCTTCATGAGGAATTAATAACACAGAACACTGCTGACCACTTTCCTCTCTTCTAGCTACACCAACATTGTTCTCGTAATAGCTACTGGCAATACAGCAACTGGATGGGGTAGTAAACTTTCAGAGATGGAACAGCAAGTTTACAATAATTATTTATTATGGTGACTTCATATAGGAACAGGTAAAGAACAAAGTTCAGTACAAGGCTTAAACACAGCTCCCTCTCAATCTCCATTATACAGCAATAGAAATAATTAGCTCCTTTTAACTGTAAGTAATATTTCCTAAAAATTCTATTAGTGACTCTTCATATTGGATTTAGATTTACTTTAATGACCTAATAAGGTCACCTCCTCTTGCTGCATGACTGAGCTCTTATTCAGTGAAAAGGAACTTAGCTGGAGGGTGAGAAGACAATGTTTAATTAATTAGTACATAAAAATACTTATTAAAGGGAAAGCAAAAAGTCCTACCAGGGTCCTAGCATAGTCACAGCACTATATGAGAACAGCTGATTCTAATGACAGAGGAAAGAAACGGAGAAGCAAAATCCTGAGCTCACTGGCACAGAAGGACCTAAAGCTTCAAGAACTTAAGCAAGCATTCTGCCATTTCATGCTCATTTCCTCAGCTCTAACACAGTCATAGTACAAACTATTTCAGAGTCAGTGTGATGATGGGGTTCAGGATGGGCTGCCCCAATATAATGCCACCTTGGCATACTGATTATTTTTAATTAAAGTTACTTAAGAAACAGCCAGTGCAAGGAAACTCTGGCCTTCCTTTGTTCCCCTGAAAGCAGGAAATAAATTCCCTGTGAAGGCTATCCTCCCTGCACCTGGAGGGTAGAAGGCATCCTTATTGCCAGAGATGAGGAATTAAGGGCCAAGAATTGACTATATAAACTTTGTTACTTCATTTATTTATTTGCTACGCCAAGTGCAAACCCCTTTGTGAATTCTCCCCAAATAACTATTTGTTTAAAAGGTATAAAAGCTGCCTGCTTCGGTCACTATTCAAGTCTCATGTCAGCATGCCTGTTCTCAAGTGAGGGATTTTCTTTTAAGTTTCCTAAACTTTTCCATTATTAGATTTTCCAAAGTAATATTCACTGTATGATATACCATAATTCGTTTACCTAGACTCTAGCTCATAAACATTGGGCTTGCTTCCAGTTTGAGGTTATTACAAATAAAGCTGCTACAAATATTTAGTACAAATATTTGTGTACAAATGTTCTCTTGGGTACGTACTAGAAGGGAGGCTGCTGGGTTGTACAGTAAATACATGTTTAACTTTATTAGGAAATGTCAAAATGGCTACTTTGAAAAATGGCAGCAATGTATATGAATTCTAAATGTTCCACACCTAACCAACATTTGGTTAAGTTTGGTCATTTTCATTGGTAGGTGATAGTAGTAGTAGATTAGTAGTATTTCACTGTGGCTGGAATTTCTAATCCCCTAATGAACTATGGTAATTGAAGCAAAATCACAGGAAATATGATCAACATACAAAAAACAACTTTTTCTGTATGTTTACAATATACAATTAGAAACTGAAGGCTTAAACAATATAATTTACATAGCATGAAAAAACTAATTAAAGATAAATCTAAAAAAAAAGATAAATCTAAAATGTGCAGAGCAATCAAAATGTCAAGACTTTTTTTTTTTTTTTTTTAAGATTTCATTCATTCACTTGACAGACTGAGATCACAAGTAGGCAGAAAGGCAGGCAGAGAGAAAGAGGAAGGGAAGCAGGCTTCCTGCTGAGCCAAGAGCCCAATGCGGGGCTCGATCCCAGGACCCTGGGATCATGACCTGAGCCGAAGGCAGAGGCTTAACCCACTGAGCCACCCAAGCGCCCCAAAATGCCAAGACTTTTTAACAGAAACTAATCATCTTGGGGCGCCTGGGTGGCTCAGTGGATTAAAGTCTCTGCCTTTGGCTCAGGTCGTGATCCCAGGGTCCTGGGATCGAGCCCCGCATCGGGCTCTCTGCTTAGAGGGGAGCCTGCTTCCCCCTCTCTCTCTGCCTGCCTCTCTGCCTACTTGTGATCTGTCTATCAAATAAATAGATAAAATCTTTTTTTTTTTTAAAGGAAAAGAAACTTATCATTTGATTCTAAAATCTATAGGGAAATTCAAAAGATCTAAAATACTTTAGTAATTCTGAGAAAGAAGAACAGTGAATGAAGTTGGATGACTTATTTTAACTGATTTCAAGACTTACTAAGAAACAATAACCAAGATAGTGTGATACTGGCATAATGTCAGTTATCTGTATTTTAGATTGAAAAGGAACTTCTCACAATTACCAATGCTAACAACAGTAACTTTAATAATAAAGACTAGTAAGTCAATGGTATTGTAATAGCATTGTATGGTGACAGATGACAGCTACACCTGTGAGCACAGCTTAATGAACCATTCCAATTGTCAAATCACTATGTTATATACCTGAAACTAACGTAACATTGCGTGTCAACCATACTTCAATAAAAACAATAATAATTAAGCCTTAAAATGGCAGAGTAAAACAAAGTTTAACTTTTGAACTATTTTTTTAATCTAAACTAGAATTCTATAGTTCAGGGAGTATCTACCTTATAATGTGATGTTAATTACACATAACGGACAATTCACTGAATTCTGCTATTTCATCTTCTTAACTAGACTATAAATTCCTTGAAGTCAGACAGAGATCACAGATAATTCTTTGGTAACTAGTGCTTCTCTATGACATATGTATTTATAAATTCTGCTGAAAAAATCATAAAACTACAGTAAATAAGTTCCCTTCAAAATCCAATCTCATAAAAATGTAATGTCATCTTATTTTAGAGATGAATGAATGACTGAAGTGAACCTGTGCTGCTATCCAAGCCACAGATTCCCAGAGTCCAGCAGTTTTCATGACCTGAATTCCCAAATCCAGGCTGCAGCCTGGTGTTTCTTGATGGCAACTGGCCACATGAGCTTAGATACCAACATAATGGTTCTTGGTCCTATGGCTGATGGATACTTCTACAACAGTGGCAGCGAATCTGAAAAATCTCTGTTCACTGATGCCTATGTCATAGGACCAATCCAGGAACTGTGTAGGAGAGAATTTTCAGGGCTAAGGGATACTCTCCACCCCCTTACACACACATACACACACAGAGCACTATCCTCCATCCAAGAACCAGTGTAGGCAGAAGAATGAATATATACCGTATCTGAATTTGCATCCTCATGGGGTTTTACCGTAACCTACCAATAGGCAGTTGATGAAGTAATAGATAAATGAACAGTAATGGTCCAAATCATTAAAATTAAATTAGAAATTATGGCACAGCTTTTCCTACCTGGTGTACCAACAGTTCGGCCACTTCTACGTGATTGTTAAGGGCAGCCAGATGCAAGGCAGTATAACCATCATCTTTCTTCTCATCCACAATCCATGGTCTTGGTAATTTAGATAGCAAAACACGCATTGCACTGAAAATCAAGTTTACATGACTTTGGTATTAACATAATTTGATATTTAAATATTTCATTATTTTCTTTAGAAAAAATATATAAAGGAAACTTCTGAAATCAAATAAAAACATCCTTTTTTAAAGAAAATTATGCCTTCAGTGGGCACCTGGGTGGCTCAGTGAGTTAAGCCTCTGCCTTCGGCTCAGGTCATGATCTCAGGGTCCTGGCATTGAGCCCTGCGTCAGGCTCTCTGCTCAGCAGGGAGCCTGCTTCCCCCTCTCTCTCTGCCTGCTTCTCTGCCTACTTGTGATCTCTGTCAAATAAATAAATAAAATCTTAAAAAAAAATTATGCCCTCAGAGACAAATGAGTTATATTTTTTTCTAAATCTCTAATGTGCAGCTTTTTGATGCTTTAAGAGGTAAACTATCACCATTTGGGGAATATAATCAAACTAGAATGGGAGTGTTACAAGCGGAAAACATTATGAGAAGGAAAAAAAAACCAAAGGGGAAAGAAATATTTCCTAACAAGGACATATACGGTCTTATGGAAACTCCTAGGTTTAATCTGAATAGTATCTATTAATGAAAGAGTTAATAAAGAACAGCCAGGTAACAACAATAACAAAGTAGGAATAATAGTGATAAAAAGACAAATTTCATATAACTGGTAGATTATCATGAATTGCAGATAATAATCTCATATATGTCATTTAGCAGTGCTAAATCTAGTTGAAATCAAAACACACAAAATGGTAATTATAATTTAATATTTAAAATTTATGGATCAATTATTTCCAGAGCAAGAAAGACAGTTATCCTAAAGACCATCAAAGAGTAAAACATAAAAGAGAGCAGGAGAAGTAATTATCAACAAGTGATACTTCTTTAAAAATAAACTACTGGGACTATATAAAAATAAAAAGCTTTTAAGCAGCAAAAGAAACCATCAATAAGACGAAAAGGCAACCTACTCAATGGGAGAAGATATGTGCAAATGATGTATCTGATAAGGGGTTAATATCCAAAATGTGCAAAGAATTTATACAACTAAACTCCAAAAAAACAAAGAATTTTGATTAAAAAATGGGCAGAGGACCTGAACAGACATTTTTCCAAAGAAGACAAACAGATGTCCGACACATGAAAAGAATCTCAAAATCACTAATCATCAGGGAAATGAGACATCATTTTACACCTGTCACAATGGCTAAAATCAGAGACAAGAAATAACGTGTTGCTGAGGAGATAGAGAAAAAGGAACCCTAGTGTTCTGTTGGTGGGAAAATAAATTGGTACAGCTACTGTGGAAAACAGTATGGAGGTTCCTCAAAAAATTAAAAATAAAAATATCATATGATCCAAAAATTCCACCACCAGGTATTTACCCAAAGAAAACAAAAACACTCATTTAAAAACATATGTGCACCCCTGTTTACTGCATTATTTACAATAGCCAAGAAATGGAAGCAATCCAAGTGTCCACTGATAGATGAAATGGATAAAGAAGATGTGGTGTGTGTATATATAATGGAATATTACTTGGAAATAAAAAGGATGAGATCTTGCCATTTGTGACAACAGGGATGGACCTAGAGGATACTATGCTAAGTGAAACAAGTCAGACAAAGAATACTGTATGATTTAATTTACATGTGGAATCTAAAAAAACAAATGAATGAACAAACAGCAGAATAAGACTTATAAATACAGAGAACAAACTGATGGTTGCCAGAAGGAGGAGGGGTATGGGGTTAGGACGTAGGAGATACGGGCTTCCAGTTATGGGAAGAATAAGTCAAGGGGATGAAAGGTACAGAGAGCATTGAGAAGAAAGTCAATGATATTTAATAGCACTGTATGGGGACAGTTGGTAGCTACACTTGTGGTGAGCATGGCATAACATATAGAGATTTTCAATCACTATGTGTACACCCAAAACTAATATAACACTGTGTGTCAACTACACTAAAATAAAAAGGAATTTTTTTTAAATGATGTGTCTTAAAGAAAAATCTAGCTCACTCCCAAAAAAGAAAAAGTAAAATTAGAAGTAACTTTTCTTACCATATACCAGTAACTTTTCTTAATAGAAAGATTTTATGTGGAAAACTCATAAAATTTGGAAAAATCCTCCCTTAATATATTTACCTACTATTTTGTTTAAGACTGAGAAAATGACTGCTCCTATAAAGTGTTAGACCTGGCATGGACTGCATTCATATACATATATTAGACATTAGAGCTTTTCTCACTCCTAACAGAGGATTTAAAAACAGAAATGCTTTTAAAATTGTTCCAAGAGAGTATTAAAAGGCAAGAAATGATAGAAGGATACATATTGGGATAGTTTTTCCTAAGGTGATATTTATGGGATAAATATCTGAAACAGAGAAATGTTTACACACATATGGAGAAACAGGCTGAAGATGCAGAATAAGAGTGTATAAATGAAACTGTAATTCTCTAAAATAATGAGAATATGCCTAAAATGCCCAGACTGTATTTCTTTAATGGTAGGGGTCTATGAATCCCATGTAGGAAGCCCAAGAAATCTCAGAACAGGCTGTGGAGGATCCAAGAACCTCTAAAATTGCTTTTAATCAAATTTTAAAACAAGTTTATAACCCAAAGTATATTGAGAATTACAGTGGCTGTTACTAAAGTTATAATCACTGCTTAGGGGAGAGAGAATTCTTTGGAAACCTATGGAAAACTACAGACTCCCTCTACACACCCCCGCTCAGAGAAAATGCACTTTATATTACACTGCCTACAATTTTGAGAGAGTCTACAAACCCCTAAATCCCGCTTGTGGACCTCATACAGAGCTCAGGTTTCCTGCTTTAGTTCACTTACAGTAATTACAAGAATTCTAGTCTTCCTCCTTTGCTGGAGTAAAATAAGATACTAGATATAGGGGCACCTGGATGCCTCAGTTGATAAAACATGTGTCTCTCTTTTTTTTTTTTTTTTAATTTTTATTAACATATAATGTATTACTTGCCCCAGAGGTACAGGTCTGTGAATTAATTTCATGGTTGAGTTCGAACCCCACATTGGGTTCAGAGATTACTTAAAAATAAAATCTTAAAAAAGAGAAAGATGCTAGATATTATGTAACTTTTCCTCAGATTCTTAATGGGGAAAAGTACTGGTACCACCCGGTACTACTGAATGTTTGGATTTGGCATAATCATGATGCCAATGCCAAACATTATCTAGTACTCTACACATTTGACTATGTGAGAAATGGAATTTATAAGGGTTTTATGATTCTTTTGGTGAGTTTAGAAGATTTAAGTATTAAATCAGGTGAGGAAAAAAGTTTTATTAAAAACAAAATGTAATTATAAGGTAATAATGTAAACAGTGATTTAAGCAAAATCTGTGACAGATTATATTGAAAGAAATAGTGGTATTAGATGATGTCAGTAGTTTTAAACCTTCATTTCTCATGACATGGAAATCAGTATATATCTACAATTGATAAATTTGGAAAACTGCAGGATAAGCTGGAAGTTATTGGGGAAGGGATGTAGGGAGGGAGGGATAAAGCAGAACACAGTCCTTTCATTATAAGCTTTATAGTAGTATTTTTTTTTAAAGATTTTTATTTATTTGACAGACAGAGATCACAAGTAGGCAGAGAGGCAGGCAGAGAGAGAGGGGGAAGCAGGCTCCCCGCCAAGCAGAGAGCCCAATGCAGGGCTCAATCCCAGGACCCCGGGATCATGACCTGAGCCGAAGGCAGAGGCTTTAACCCACTGAACCACCCAGGAGCCCCAGCTTTGCAGTAGTAAGTATTGACTTAGTTTTGCATATATATTAGATTTTAAAATTGTAAGTCAAAACACTAAAATAATATTTAGGCTAACTATGTGAAAATCTTTTATATTTGCTACTTTAGTTCTTATAGCCAAGATCTATAAATATGACGGCAAGTTTTACATTATAAGGTGTGGCTCATGCTTTCACCAAATTTTTTTTTTTTTAGTCACATTATTGAATAGATATCCTTGAGAAGATGATTCATATGAAACCATGTTTCCCACTACCTTGCATTCCTGTTTCAGAAGTACCTTCCCATTTTAGGCTGCCAATAACTCAAAAGAAAGAAATGGAGAGAAGAGCAATTCCTTCTCTGGGTATAAGCTATCCACTGAGATGGAGCCATCAGTAACTTGTTCTTATGGGCCTGTGCATTTCCTAAGTGAAAAAGCTAGAGAAAGCTGAGGTCTCTCGGGAGGAAGGGCCAATGGCTCACAAGGGTAGTGAGGCACTTACACAGAAATAGATGTGTATTCCTGAAAGCCCACTGTCTCTCTACCCTCTCAGTGCATTTTATCTTTTTGCTTTTCCCTTTCAGTACAAAATGCGTAACTGAAGTATCAGAGCAAAAGCAAGATGGTAATTCCAGGATACTGTCAAAAGTGACAAAAATGATCCCAGTCCCTTCTAGATCACATTCTATAAAGTCCATCAAATCCTAATACTAAAACGTAAAACTCAGATTTTCAGAGAGCAAGTTTTCACTTCAGAACCAATCCATTCTGTTCATTAGTCCCACTTACGTGGGGTGGGCAATCTGAGGAGCCCACAATCCAACCAGGCATGCCAGCTGTCCCCTGCAGCGCTGGTGTTCCCGAAGAGGAGACTTCTGCTGCAAGCACCCAGGCCCACAGGTTTGCTGGGACCAGGGTGTTACCAGCTGAGCATATTAATAATTTGACTGCATCAACAGGCTCTCACCTATGGAGCACAGTATATGAGATTTGGAGGTATTTTCCCTAATGCCCAAATACTCTTCTTTCATTCTCAGTCTGGTTGTTTTCCAAGAGGTTAAGGACAGGGATGGTTGAAAGATAAGATCTTACTACCAGCTAGGCAGGCATTTGTGAAGACTGCCAAAGAAGCATTAAGTTCCGGAACAACTAACAGTGGTGCCTAGTATAATCCCTGGCACATGGTAATACTCAAAACGTTTGCTGAATGATGAACAAATGAGTTCTAAGAAGTAGAGGGACAAGCAGCTGTCTACATTGGTATGTAGCAATCAAACAGCACTAGGTCCATTTTTAGGGCCTGCCATGCTTTATAATCTTTCTTCAGAGACAGGCAACGTTTTTCTAAACAAACCCAAGTAGGTAAACTGTGGAGTCCTACATATTAATGTGAAAAAACATTAGAATAGCACTACAGCACACACTAGGTGTTCGCTGAATGCTTGCTAAGTTAATGAACAATCCCTCAAATAATAAAGCTAATAAAGTCTGTTAGTCCGGAATTCATAAAGGAAACTACTAAGAAAGGTGATCAATCCCAAGCAGAAGTTCTTTAATGCCTACTAAAAGTAGGTAAGTATGTGATATTCTAAACATATTTTTCTCACCTCTACCTGAATGGATGCAGACAAGAAGCCTGGAAAGATAAATACCCAGATGCTATCCATGGTAATCACTTTAATAATAAATAAATATAGCTGGGTTTTATTTCCTTTCATTTACTTACAGCTGGTGAACAGACATTAGTTAGATGTTTTTAAATTTTGGGGGAGGGGATTTTATTTCCGCCCACCCCAAACTTTTTTTTGACAGATACCATAATTAAAAGGTTCATTAATTTAGCCTAATTTCATGAAGCAGGAATTTGGTAATATAGAACTTAGCTCAAAATGAGAAAGAGATATGCAACAATTCAGGCTGCAGAAAAGATGTACAGCTGAATACTCAAGAATTCTTTAAAGACAACCAAAATTATCTCTTAAATGACCCGTCAGTTCTTAATTCTCCTTCCATGTATAAGCCAGGGCCCCGTTTTACTTATCTTTATGTCACCTTTGTATGCCTAGTAAAAGGAGCTCAAAGTTTGGTTGAATGGAACAAAAGAAGATACAATCAAATGAACAAACATTTTCTGAATATAATGGAGGCAAGGAGATTACCAACCTGTTAAATTTTTGGTATACTTTCAAGTCCTCAAGAATGGTAATTCCCTAACTGGTTTCGTTATTACAGACCAGAGTAGGAGTATGGTGTGGCGGTAAGGAGCTCAAAATCTGAACCCAAACTAGCTGGGTCCAAATTCTGGCATTAGCAAGGGGAATGGCTGGTGACTTGAGCAGGTTACTTAACGTCTATGCTTTGGTTTCCTCATCTATAAAATGTGAGAAGAATCACAGATTCTATCTCGAAGACGTTGTTATGAAAATTTAAAAGGGTTTAGAAGAGTACCCAGCACTTCACATTTGCTTTAAAAACAAAAACAATTAACCACAACAACAACAAAAAACCTTTCACTGCTACAAAATGGTTAGGAAAAAATGAGGTGATTTAGAAACCTGAAAATTAACCTATCTTAAACTGAGACATGTGTCATCTTCTCACAGTATGTGTAAAAAGTATTCCAATGTCTAGGAAAGCTGGCTCTTCAAAACTGTCAAATATCTACAGAAGCACTTTGTATGTCACTGCTTTAAAATAGCCATCCAAAATAATTCCCCTGCTATGGTACTAAATGCTAAAGACAAAAACAATGTCAAGGACAAAACTTCCCTTACAGGAGAATGAGCTTAAAAAAATGGTAATAGTTTTTCTTAATTCTGAATTGAATCAATACTTTACAGAACACTGTATCTGAATTAAGAACAAGGTATAGATATGGTTTAGGAAGAACAAAGTTTCTCTTGGGCATTTTTAGGTTTGTAAAATCTTAAAACTGTATATCCACAACTACATTAGATTTGATGTTATAATATTCTTTTCTCCTTGGTTAAAAAAATACATTTCAACATTACAATATATTATGAATATGCTACTAAAATTTAGAGCAAGAGTATTTTTGCTCTGAAGCATATACTATTATGTGGCAACATTACAGATTAGGTTAATGACTGTTTCATAGTCTCCGGTAAACTAGAAATGTTATAGATTAGGTTAATGACTAATTCATAGTGTCTGGTAAAGCAGAAATAATCATGCCCAAATGACATTTCATAAAATCTAAAAGAAGGAAAAAAATACTTTACATTTGAAAATGGAATAGAATAAAAATGAATTTTAATAGTTCTGTACGTAAATATAGTTTCAACATAAAAGTACGCAATTATTCAAAACCATTCTAGACCCTGTTTCTCATCTAAGCACTACAAAAAGTTAACTGAAACTGACACGGAATTAACTGAAACTGACATGGAATTAAGTTTTAAGTAGCATTTTTCCGAGATTTCACATTTATACACTACTCTTTTCTCCCTTACTGATCTCTCTCCATCTTTAGTATATAGGTTTTACTTACCATTTCTACATACTTTCCACTAAAATATTATTCCTTAAATTTAAAATGTATGTGTAGTAATAACTAGCTCTAAAGATAACCCTGCAAAATCTCTTCAAGCCTTTAGTTACATAAAGTATCATCATCCATAATATTTTTTACCAACAAAAAAGTTACGTTATGAAATATATTTTGGCAGCAGAGAGATTTTACTTATTCCAGGTCTGTCTCAAAACTGTCTTGCAACTAGCCAGGGTAATATTTTTCCTCCTTCCTTTTTTTCTCTGCAGTGCTTCTAAGTATAGTGACAGCCACATCAGGCTTTCCTAGTCTCAGCGCAAGCTCAGTGAAAATCTGGGAAATGTAAGTGGAAACATGAGAGACCGCTTTATTTGGCAGTGCTTTAAAAAAAAAAAAAAAGGGGGCGGGCAGAACAAATGGCAAAGCAGTGTTTGGACCGCAGGATGAACAATCAATAGGCAGAAAGCAAGATAGAGGCTTCCTCAGCTTTTGGATCGACAATCGACAGCTGAGAGACTATTTTTTGCTATGGTTGACTAAATATGGTCAGGGAAGAGAGAGGCACAAGAGAGCCTGTTTGCCTGGGAGTGCATGTTTCAAATGCTTAGCTGCCTATAAAGCTGTAACAGTTTAGCCTGTGGCCACTGAGAGAAGAATATAAGTTAACCTCTGTAGTGACCATGTGGAAGTCCTGACCTTGCCTGCAGACTTGACCTCTGGATATGACAAGGTGGCTTCACTGCAGATCTACCAATTAATTCTGGAAACTAAAAACCAAAACCAAACAAACAAAAAACCCAAAAAAACAACTTCACAGCAAGAAAGATACAGAACATTTCCTGAGAAGTCAGAAGAACCTAATGTATTCTGGTGGGCAGAGGAAAATAGGGTGAATGCTTAGTTACTTGGGGGGGAGTGAGGCGTGTTTTGTTTTTTGGCTTTTTGTCTTTTTTAGGTTATAAAATTAACTTTCCTGCAACTTTCTCCCCTCTTCTGAAGCATTTCATCTGAAAATAAGCGAAGGCTCCTTTTCTTGGCCATTATATCAACTCTCCTTCGTTGCTTAACTTTCTGTACAGCAGATACAAGGTACTCGTATCTGTGTAATACTGGTAATATGACCTTCCAAATCAAATGGCCAACTTTAATTCAATTTTGTTGTTTGGGTTTTTTTTTTTAAGGTGAAGGAAAGGGAGAGGGACAAGATGGCTTATTTGGGTTCTTTTGTTTGTTCATTTGTTTTTCAAATGTATCTTAAAAGGTGAGGTTCTGTGTTCACTGATCCGGCCCCCTTGCTTCCTTCGGCTTATGAAAAGAAGTGCTGAATCAGCGAACAGAATGAAGGAACCTCAAGAGGAGATGGCTGCTGCTGCTGTGGCTCTCTAGGTCATTATCTCTCTTCCTCCTGCAAATGCTGCATGGCACTAAGCTTACAGGTAACAGTACCACAAGGCCTGCACTTTTAAGGATGCTTATGACTTTCTGCATGCTTACCTATTATAGACTCGATACATGCTTCTATTGTTAAAGTTTATCTAGGCATTGCCTAATTTCACAGTTCAAACAGACAGCTTATGCAGCATAAGAAGGCATGTTCAAGTATCTTGGCAGATAATTCTTGATCTCAAAAATGTACAAATCCATTACTGTAAGTGACATTACTAAAGATTTGGTCTTTGTTTCAGATTAAATAATGACTTTGCATCCTTAGTAAATCACATCCTGCTTCGAAAGTACGCAACGTTTTAAAAACTATTAACTGTCTATTTCAAGGTTTAGCCAACTAAGAGACTTGGCAGATCAAAAAATACTTCTTAATGCTAACTTTTAGTTGGTACAAAAATAAATCAGAATGTGCATGGTAAATCCCAATAGTGAACGGCTGAAACTGCTGTACGCTGGGCCACTACTGCTACATTCTGATTTGCCCTCTAGATGCTGCACCAACTTTTCATCACAGGCTGCAGAAATTCTACTCTCCCTGCCTTTTTGTTTTCTCCTTTCCCAAATGTGAAAATTTCTTACATTGTTCATTTAAATTAACCTTTTAATACCACAATAGTTAAAGGCAACTCACCAACTATAATGTCTTTTCAAGCTAAATGATTACGCTCAAACCCCTGTGCCCCAGGCTAACACCTTTCAATTATTTTCAGTAAGACTTTAGAAAAGTTGACTATTCTGGTAGTTATCCTTTTATTAAAAAAATTAGAGAATCAAAAGAACCAAATTCACCAAAAGTAGATATTTATACATCTTTTCAAATGTGTATTCAACCCCCGCCAAAACAAGGCACCAAAATGCAAAATTCAGGTAAGTAACTAATAAAGACAAAGGACGGAGAAAGAAGTTTTCAAATAATCATGAGTTCCTTCTCTGTGACCTTTAAAACAGTAACAAAAAGTCCATCATCTTTAAAAATTCAGTTCACTCACTCTAAAAAGATCTAGTTTTTCTCCTTGTTCTTTCAACTTTACAGTCAATATCAGAAGTAGTACTAATTGCTTAACTGGTTAAGTTTTCAATAAGACATCTAGTTTTTAAAAAGAATTTGCACTGAATTCATTACTATCTACTTGTAGGATCTAGAAGCAAACTACAAAATAAGAAGAAATTCACTCTGAAGACTATGAAGAAACACTAGACTGATTTTACCAATTTCTGAAATAATACTCTGTAAAGACTCCACTGATTCTATGAATCTCTTGCAAAAACAACCAGACCAGGACAAAGTTCAACAGATAACTGGTTAGTGTTTAGAAGTATCTATGCCCACCGAGAACAAGGAGCCATAAATGGCACTAATGCCATGCTTCAGGTAAATCTGCTATGGTTTAGTCTTTGACAGTCTCTGCAAATGATCTACCACGACTCTGTATCAGTAAGTTGAATGTTTCACTAACGAATGGGAAAATAAAACATGTCATGTTTTTACAGCTAACAACTTAGTAAAACCTACTCAGAGTACATACTTCTTTATGTACCCATATGAACATACAATGCTATGGAATGTAAAGAAGTATGTATTTTTGGTAGGCAACAAACTGCCAGGAGGGAACTACACTGCAGCTAAAAGAAGCCCTTGCTTCTTTCTGTGTGAATGACCTTCATATGGTAAATTAACCTGGTATCAAAGAGATGACCTTTGGCAATACTAACACCATAAAAATGTATCTACTACTTTTAGATGGAAACTAAATGTTGCAAAGATTTCTACTTTGTGAAGAAAACAAAGTTTAACTAAGGAGATTTAAAATTATCATGAAACTCCTTTTAAATCTTTTAAGTTTAAAATACGCTATGCTTTACATTTTTAAATTAAGTACTCACATGATTAAAATTTGGATACAGAAATCAGTATTACTAGAACAAAAGAGGGATAAACATGACCTATGTTCTCTCTCCACAATATGATCTTAATTAAAGTATGTATCACATTAGTAGGATCAACTGGTTTGTTAAGAATAACAAGATATAACAAAAACTGACATCATTACATTTTAACAATTTTCTTGATACATTGATAAGTATATAGTCTACTGACATTAGAGGAATTTCTGAAGCAAGTTTTGTTGGTTTAAGCTTTTCTGAAAGCTACATAGTCATAATTGGAAAAGACTATCTTTTAAGTTAACACTCTATTCTCAAAAAAAAAAAAAAAAAAAAAAAAAAAGGTGATGTTGTTCTTAATCAGGTCCTTAACCCAGTCTTTGCTTTAAATGCTGTCAGTATGTAGAAAAAATTAAAACCTAATATTTATGCATGAAAAATGACAAAATTCTGGGCCATAATTGTTGGTTAACAGGGCACATTGGTAACAGATTGCCAAATAATTAAAAGAAATTTATTATCAATATTATCCTTGAATCTGCTTTCTCCAAAGGGGAACATAAAATGAAAATGCTATAGTCAAGTAACCAATTTAACAGACAGAATAATCATCTTTCACTGGTACTGTGCAATAGCAATTCAATATTTACAATCATGATAGGGTCCACTATTTGTAGTGTGTTGGAGGTATCACAATATTTTTTTGTACCTTATACAAAACTTATTTTGTATAACATAGACATATATTAACAAAATAATAAATAATAAAACTGCTCTCTATACTTTAATAAGCAGTACCTGCTTCAAGCTTTTTTGGAAAAAAAGAAATACTAATATTCATATATTCTAATCATTTCTTACTAAAAGTATTATTTCAACTGGAATATTCAGACATGTATAAAAAGCACAATGATAAATGAAAATTCTTATGCGTCCCAAGTTGAACAGAAATGGCTATAAGGTTAACTACAGTTATAACTGAAAATATGTATGTCAAAAGTACAGGTTCCCCTATAAAACTAGACAAAGTATATTACTATACTCATGATTTGTAACATTATAAAATTACTGAGCATTATAAAATTGTAGAACAATTTTATCCATTATTCTGTAGGCACGAAAGTTTTTAATAATTATTTTAAAATATCCTGGTGTCAAAGTCTTATTGCTCTAATATTAAGAGTACATAATAATCCTCAGAAAATAAAATGACAGCAACTGCTATTCATTTTAAAAAATAAGATTATATACTGGTTTTAGTGCTTACAAGTTTAACTGAACATATCTGAGTCTTTTCAATCATTCTAAAATGCCACATCCATTGCTTAGATCAGCTGTTCATTTTTAACTGAGTACATAGTAAACTCTGGGCATCTGCTGACACTGGTGTAACTCAAACATTTCAACTGTCTCTCTGACAGGGATAACAGATGCTGACATTATCAAATGCTGTACTATTTTTTTTCCATGGCCTCTCCTTGCCCCAATATGGCCAGTATATGAAACTGAACTGCCATCCAAAAGCACACTTGAGCAACTGGATCTGCTAAACAGCTCCCATATAACTAGTAAAAATAGAAGCCAGTTTTATTGCTATCTTCAGCACTTAAGTCCAGGCAATTTAACACCTGTTTCATTTCTATTAGAATAAATGGAAAGAATTGTAGTTACATTAGTTTCACCAGCAGCATGATACTTAACAATCAACAGATGCAGAATATACTTAATATGATAACTGTTTGAATACTGCCTGAAATAGTGTCAGCCTTTTCCCAGTTTAGTTCAAAACAGTAACTGTTTCTTTATAGGTGAAGTGAGTGAGTTACTTATAAAAGTAAGTGAAAGCACTTACTTTATAGGCAAACCATAATATCTCAAAGTTTTATTTTGCAAGTATATTTCATAAGATATCCCTTCCCTGATACTGAAATGCAACACAAATCACATTATAACAAACACCTACTGTACTGACTTTTAAAGTATTACTCATGTAGTAGACTTTAATACTCAAATTTATTGATTATAACTAAGCACCGCAAGTCCATGTATTATTAAGCTGATAATGGAGGTAACTAGGCAATCTGTACCCAAAACGATGGAGAACTCAGGGAAATAGACCTTGAAAAGGGTTAAATTACTAACCTATGATTAGTAACACTACATAAGCAAAAACAAAGAAAAAATCTGGCATGTATCGTAGTTCCTTTCAACACAAGTCCAAGCAATACACTGAACACACGTGTGATCTATTTATAAACCAAAGGGCAGAGGTACTTTCTTAAGGCCGCTCATTTTCCTCCACCCCCTCCCTGTCAGCAACTTGCTATTACCCTCAAGTATAATACTAATTAAAGGAGCAGTGGTAGAAAGGTTACCAGTACTCTTCCCTAACCTATTAGCATACTTCCTTGGTTCACTGCCTAAAAGATAAATACAAAATAGTATTCTGAAATACATCAAGGTCTGTTTGTTCCTTTAAATCCTATTGGTTTTAAAACAGGTTATTGTCTACACTTAAGAATTATGCAAAGCTGTACACTGGTAATTCCTTAATGCATCAACAAAATGTTAAAGGGTAAAGACTTCTACTCCACTCAAGTAGGAAATAGTAGGAAAAGTGCCTTCAAAATAGAAAAGTTGACACGTAATGACTGAAGTACTGATATGAGAATCTCTAACATTTGTTGAAAGTCCATAACCATAATTGTACAAATAAAAAGCATTTCAACTCTTTCGTATCCCAAACTAGCAGCACTGCAATGCTTTGCTAGAGCTGGTAAAATGGAACCAAATCGCCTCTTCAATGGATTTGGTCCCCTTCAACCAGCTGTAGCTATGCATTGATTACTACAGGACAGCCAACGTTTTTCATTTATGAATATCAATCACATGTCGACTAGTTTCAGCTTATTTAAGTTATTCAGATTGTGGTTTAAATCAAATAATTTGTTACTGTTAATTCTTCTTGGGAGAACCATAGGGGTTAACAATGTTTAGAAAAAGTTTTATGAAAAATGTGTGGATGACTTATGAACTGCAAATAAAATAATTTTACTTATTTACCATCTTGGTGGGTTTTTTTAATCCTTCAGAAAAGAAATGGTAATAAAATGTAGCCTATACTGCATAATAAAAAAATACACTTCCTCCAAAGGAAGAAAATATTTGGGAAGGTCACCTAAAACCTACAGTATGGTTCCAAAGAATGGACATGCACATATTTTAAATTAAGGAAAAACATATCATTAAATAGAATACTCTAGAAATGTTGGGTCATTATTTTCCACAGGATTAGCATTTAATTTGACTGCTATTTATCTGAATATTGATAGATAAAGGTAAAAAAGAAAACGAACGATTCTGCAGAAACTGCAGAGACTGCAACAGTATCTAGTTCTTCCAACCATAAAAGTTTTTAACCTTCTGAAAAGAAAGGAAATGGGAAGCATTCACAGCTTTTTACTATGTAGGTATTTCACCTTTCCATACTCAGTTGTAAAATAAAGATCTCTTCTAATAATAACATCCTATGACTCTCCTCACAATCCTCTTTGGCCTTCACAAAAAAATATAGACACGAACCTCTCTCTCTCTCAGTGGAAAGAAAATGAAGGAAGAGGAAAAATGACAAGTTATCCAACATCCCTCTATTTTTCTTACTGACTGCAATACAACTATAGGTAATATAACATTCTTTAACACATGGAAACAAACATTTCAGTAATTAATGAAGGGTTACTAATGGTAAGTAGCAGTTTAAAAAGCTACATGTTCACACAATTTTCAAAAGACCACTCCTCTATTTCAAAGTTAAGATCACCCCTTAAAAGAAAGTAGGCAAAGGAAAATATATATATAAATAAATTTTATCTCTTCATTCAAATTATTAGGCCTTCCTGCTCATATTAATCACATTTCAATAAGCCACATTAAATATATTTATGTATTACAAGGCACATCATGTCTGAGAGTGGATGTATGGCATACAACAGAAAATGGATATACTCTAAGTATAGTACCATTTAATACACTCTCAGCTATTTTTTATATATAGCACTCAGCATGTTCAGAATTTACAAGAAAAGAAAAACATTAAACACAAAGATATGGTCTGCATTATCAAATCTTCATATATTCAACGTAGTCTTATTTACTAGGTCTTATTTCGGAATTTAAAACATTAAATAAAGGTATCATAACATTCCAGAGGGGAAATTATGAGTTGCTCACATATTCCGTAAGATTTAGTATGTGCCTTTGTGCAAATAAAAAGAGATAAGTAAGAAATGACTGTGAAGTTATCTTAGCACTAACCTAAAAACACAAGTGTGTCACATTATGTGGTCCATTCATATTTTGCTATTACTTTTCACACTCGATTTATATTAAAGAAAGATTTGTAAATAACACTATATAAGGTAACTTCATAATACAGTTAACAGAACCTCCAAAATATCTAAATGGCATCAGTACTTTCAAAATACTTAGCTGGTTTTTGGCTAGCTCTGCAAAGAATACTGCTAATTTATTTTCATGCCTGTGAAGATCTAAAACATTAAGAGCTAAAAATGCAACATCCTCATTAGAAAGTACCTAAGTAATGTGCCAATTAATGTTTAGTTTTCATTTTCAACAACAGAAATGCTTCCTGCTCTTCATTTAAATCTGAAATTTCACCTATATGCAAAAAAAGGTAATATGGCTAAACTCTAGGGAAAATAATCTCTAAATATCAAAAATAAGAAAAAGCATAGTTCTTGGTTAAGATTCCTGAAATACAAAAAACTTTATTAAGTCATACTGTAACTGCTATTCTAAAATGTCCCAAATTTTATAAAGCATGATACCAAAATATTCAGTGTCTCAGAATGAAAGCTTATATTGTCCCCCACAATTCTGAAAGGAAAGAAACCGCTTTATAATTTTAATGTCTTTATTTCAGTTATTGTTATACCACGAGGAAACATCAAGATCTGCTTTGAAATCCAGAATCTACATTGATCTGAAGTTTTGAAATCTATATTTCAAAGTATATTCTTCAAAAATATTGGACATCTAAACGTATTTTTTATAACCAGGGATATTATATTTTCTTTTTAAAAAGCACAGTTGGGACACCTGGGTGGCTCAGTCAGTTAAGTATCTACCTTCAGCTCAGGTCATGATCCCAGGGACCTGGGATTGAGCCCCACATTGGGCTCCCTGCCCAGCAGGGGTCTACTTCTCCCTCTCCTCCCTGCTCATGCTCTCTCTTGCTATCTCTCTCTCAAATAAATAAAATCTTTATAAATAAATAAATAGCACAATCAATAACTCTACTGTCATTAACTTATTGCTGAAAAATTATTACTACTTACTAACAGCAAAGCTAAGGAATAGAATGTTACTTTAATCTCACATATATACACATGCACATATAAACTTTGGAAACTTTTGCGTATTGTTAACCATAATAAACTGAAATAATTTTAAGTGAACATTTGTGCTGGTACTAAGTTACATTTGCAGTGATATAAGTGATTTGCTGTAGAAATAATATATATGTATTCTAATAAAAGAAAAATCTCAAAATTAGCTACGAATTATATTAACTGAAGTATCATCAACTGCAATTAATATTGACTACAAATGAAATTCAACAATTAAGCCAAGTATACTAAAGAAGTATAACCTAGTTTAAAACAAAGATCACAAAGAACAAATTAAAATATTGTAATTCAAGGTAATAGATTCATTAAGTTATATAAATTATAAAATGCTTATAAGAAAGGGAAAAATGTTGGCCCATATTAATCTTGTCTAATATTTTATTCAAAAATACTGATTTCATCAGCCTCTGGAAATAATAAATGAACTATATCTGGTTTTCTCAAATAAGGGCTGAGGCCAAAGACTTTTAAAAAAAATTCTGAGGGGCTCCTGGGTGGCTCAGTGGGTTAAGTCTCTGTCTTTGGCTCAGGTCATGATCTCAGGGTCCTGGAATTGAGCCCCACATCCGGCTCTCTGCTCAGCAGGGAGCTGGTTTCCCCTCTCTCTGCCTGCATGTAATCCTTCTCTCTCTGTCAAATAAATAAAATCTTTTTTTTTTAAAGATTTTATTTATTTATCTGACAGACAGAGATCACAAGCAAGCAGAGAGGCAGGCAAAGAGAGACAGAGGGAAGCAGGCCCCCTATCGAGCAGAGAGCCTAATGCGGGGTCAGATCCCAGGACCCAAGCCAAAGGCAGAGGCTTTAACCCACTGAGCTACCCAGGCACCCCAATAAAATCTTTAAAAAAAAAAAAATTGAGTACACCAAAAATTATTCCTCTGCCTTTTGACATCACTGGTCAGTACAAGGAAAGAAAAGCACGTGGTTTTTTTTGTTTTTGTTTTTTAAAGATTTATTTATTTATTTATTTGACAGATCACAAGCAGGCAGAGAGGCAGGCAGAGAGAGAGAGAGAGGGAAGCAGGCTCCCTGCTGAGCAGAGAGCCGGATGTGGGGCTCGATCCCAGGACCCTGAGACCATGACCTGAGCTGAAAGCAGAGGCTTTAACCCACTGAGCCACCCAGGCGCCCAGAAAAGTATGTTTTAAGAATAAAAAACTTGGTATGAAAAAAAGAACTGAAAACAACCTCAATTTGCAATTTCCACTGATAATGTAAGTTCAACTGATGTATATCTTCTGATATTCTTTAGTGTCCAATTAAAATCCTATTCTTTATCTGGCAATCTATAGTCACAATTGCATGAAATGTCTTAAGGAAATAGGAATAAAAAACAATCATGTAGCTTTAACAAAAGCACTTTGCTGCAGAAAGAAAATGGCTTTTTTCTCTTTTTTTTAAATGTCACCTGACACTAGTTATTTGATTGGAGAAATAACCCTTATAAACTTCAGGGGAATTCTCAAGATATATACAAGAATTGAAGAAATACTAGTAGTATACTCTCTTCTCGTAAAGGCTTATTACCATTAGTAAATACACTACCGCCCACTCCCAGTAAAGTGAGACAATCCAAAATATTTAAAGGTGATTCATGTCCTAAACACTTCAATTTTCCATCTATCTTAAACTTTATGATTTAATATAATAAGCTAAATTCCCTCAACAAAATCTCTCTCTCTTTTTTTTTTAAAGATCTCATTTATTTATTTGAGAAGGGAGGGCATGTGTAGGCATGAGTAGATGGAGGAACAAAGGAAGAGAGAGAAGCAAACTCTCTGCTGAACAGGAAGCCTGACCTGGAGCTCAATCCCAGGACCCTGGGATCATGACCTGAGCTAAAGGCAGATGCTTAACTGACTGAGCCACACAGGTGCCCCCAATAAACTCTCTTTTGACCATTCTAATCTGAAATAATTGCTGTTCAAACAGAATCTGTAATTACATAATATCCTGTGATATCTAGCATTGTCCTATGAAATTAAGACTAACATTTATTAAGTCCCTATCACAGTCAAGGCATTGTGGGAGATACAGAGATGAAAAGGAGTGCCCACAATTTTAACAGAAAGAAACAAAGAAATACCACACAAACATAAAATGCAATAAAATAAGAAGAAAGAACACATCAGTACAGGGCAAATAGAAAATAATTTCAATGTTGAGATCCAGGAACTCTGAAAGAAAGATGGTTAAGGGGGCGCGTGGGTGGCTCAGTCCTTAAGCGGCTGCCTTCGGCTCAGGTCACGATCCCAGGGTCCTGGGATAGAGACCAGCATCAGGCTCCCTGATTGGTGGGAAGCCTGCTTCTCCCTCTCCCACCCCCCTGCTTGTGTTCCCTCTCTCGCTGTGTCTCTCTCTGTCAAATAAATAAATAAAATCTTTAAAAAAAGAAAAGAAAGATGATTCAGATCAAGAAGGGAAGGGGATAAGGATATCCTGACTAAAGAAAATGCTTAAATAAATGAACAAAGTAGACAAAAGATCTTAGAAAAGGGGAACAGCATAATGTAACTGAAGGGGTGAGGTAAGAAGAGGGATTTTAATTACTGGGAGATAAAGTCAGAAAGTCTTAAGAGAGACTACAAATGGGTATGAAGGCCAAGTTCAAGGTGTGCAAATTTTATTCTACGTACAAAAGGAAGCAACTGAAGATTTGGGAACAGGGAGAGGCACAATTATATCTATGCCTTTAGAATGGTAAGTTGGTATTGTATGAACATTAAATCAGAAAAAAGACTGAAATCAGAGAGAAAATTAGAAAGTTACTATAATAGTTTAAGTAAAAGTAGTGAGTACTTAATTACATCAGCAACAACGGGAATAGGAAGAATGAAATAGATTGGAAAAGACTAGTAAAATAAATGGAATTTGAGAACTAACTAGAAGTTGAGAACTAGTGAGAGAGTAGTCAAAGATAACACTAAACAAAGAGGCAGCAAGGGAACTGCTGGATGTATTAGCACATTCTTAGTTAAATCATTCACTGTCCATGTGTTTCAGTCTTGAAACCAGAATACAGAAAAAGTACTGTAAGGTAGTTAAGAGTGATTTTTCTTTTCTTCCTTTTTCTTTTTTTTAAAGTAGGCTCCATGAGGAGAAAGGGGAACCCTCTTACACTATTAGTGGGAATGCAAGCTGGTGCAGCCCCTCTGGAAAACAGTATGGCGGTCCCTCAAAAAGTTGAAAATATAACTACCCTATGACCCAGCAATTGCACTACTGGGTATTTACCCCAAAGATACAAACATAGTGATCCAAAGGGGCATGTGCACCCCAATGTTTATAGCAACACACAATAGCCAAACTATGGAAAAAGCCCAGATGCCCATCGACAGATGAATGGATATAGATGTGGTGGGGGTGTGTGTGTGTGTATATTAATCAGCCATCAAAAAAATTAAATCTTGCCATTTGTAATGACATGGTTGGTACTAGAGGGTATTATGCTAAGCGAAATAAGTCAATGAGAGACAATTACCATATGATCTCACTCATATGTGGAATTTTAAGAAACAAAACAGAGGATCATGGGGAAGAGAGGAAAAAATAAAACAAGATGAAATCAGAGAGGGAGACAAACCATATGAGACTCTGAATCATAGGAAACAGGGTTGCTTGGAGAGGACAGGAGTAGGGAATGGGGTAACTGGGTGACAGACATTAAGGAAAGCAAGTGATGTAATGAGCACAGGGTAATATATAAGACTGATGAATCACTGACCTCTATTTCTGAAACCAATAATACATTATATGTTAATTAACTGAATTTAAGTTAATTTTTTTTTTTTAAATAAAGTAGGCTCCATGCCCAGCATGTGTCCAACCACAGGGCTTGAACTCACAACCCTGAGATCAAGACCTGAGCCAAGATGAAGAGTTGGACACTTAACTAAGCCATCCAGGCACCCCTAAGAGGTATTAAGTCAGACTGTTGCTCAACGTCTAGCTGCTCATAGCCAGATATGTGGTCTTAAACATAAATTCCTCTCTTTATAAGCTTCACATTCCTTATCTAGTAAAAGAGGATATTAACACCTACCTCAAAGAGCTGTTGAAAGGATTAAAGGAGATAGTGCACATAAACCTTTTAATAGAGGCCTTGCCTACGGTAAATGCTATCATCATCATCTTCTACTTGAAAGGCAGGAAACATGTAATATTTTTGTCTCCTTCACAATGCTAAAGTATGAAGTGTTCATATATTTGTCATTTGAAAAAAAATCAAAATATAATCTAAAATATGGTCATTTATTTCCTCCCACATTATATGCCCATGATTAGGAGCATCAACAAGCAATAGCAGTAAAATCTTTTTGTTCTCTGTGCTCACCCTCTAGTGGTGATCCTAGGAAGCTAAAAAAATAGCAAAAACTAGAAGGATACATGATATAAAAATGCCGTATGGAACCAGAGGACAAAAACTCATGGGAATGTAATATAGTTAGTTAATACTGACCTGTGTATTTCCAAGTTGCTAAGAGAGTAAATATTAAAAGTTCTTCTCATAAGAAAAAATATTTGTAATCACATGGGGTGAAGGATGTTAACCAGACGTACCATGGAAATCATTTCATAATAAATTCATATATCAAATCATTATATTGTGCAACTGAAACTAACAATATTTTATGTCAATTTGTCTCAATTTTAAAAAAAGAATTCAGGATAGATTAAACTGTCAAAATAAACTTCAAAGTGAACAGCTAGCTCCCTCAGGCAAGATATGAAGGCTTAATTCAACATTAAACAGAAGACATCTAATGCAGTTTTCTAAAATGCCTCTCAAGGTTAAATTGTTCCCAAAAATTCATTCACAGCAAGCTCTACATTAAGCAAAAACTAAGTATTTTCCTGTTCTGTGAGACTTTGCTGATCCTTATGAATTCTGTGATTTCCCATTAGTTTTTCTCAAACTACAACCAGCAAATCCTTTTTCTAGTAGACTGCCTATCACCACTGTTAACAATGGCTGGGGAATATCTACACTAGAAGCTTATACAATTATATTATTAATAAGGAATTAGGTACTTAAGAGTTATTCAGCCACAAATTAAAAAAATAATCATGCAAATGGGGTGCATGGGGGGCCCAGTCAGTTAAGCATCTGACTCCTGATCTTAGCTCAGGTCTTGATCTCAGGGTCTTAAGTTCAAGCCCCGTGCTGGACCACATGCTGGGCATGGAGCCTACTTAAAAAAAAAAAAAAAAATCAAACAAATGGATAACATAAGATTAGAGGACACTGAGAATGATCTTAAAGAAACAAATCTCAAAATGGAATGCATTTTAATTAAATCTTTAGATATAAGCAATATTCTTGATAACTTATATCCATATTTAATATATATAATAGTCATTTCATAGTATTTGTATTAGTTTAACAATAAAAAAATTTCCAGACTTTAAAATGATTTATAATGTACTAAAATAGCCATTACTTCCTCATCTGTATCAGAAAAAGAGAACCAGCACTAGGAAAATATTTTTAAACTGCATATAAAATAGTAAAGGTGAGATCCTTACCTGGGATTTCCTCTTAGTGCCGCATGGTGTAGAGCATTAAATCCATTATTGTTTGTAATGGTAACATCTGCTCCAGCTTCTAAAAGAACTGCCAGAATGTCATCACGTTTCTTACTTATTGCATCATGAAGAGGGGTATCACCTTCAGAATCCTTTTTTTTAATTTAGAGAGATTTTCATTAGTTCTTGAGCCAAATATCACATGTAATATTAATAACGTACACTGAAATACTGAACAGAAGCCATATCTAGTAACCTTCAATAGAACATTCTGCATTAAATTCTAGGATGTAGGCAAGAAACATTAGCCTCATTATATTATATTAAACTCATCCTCAATCTAGATGGGGAACAATGAACATGTTGTAGCTTACCAAGGAAAAAGAAAAGTAAAATTAAAAAGTACCCTCAAATATGACTCAGGTAATTACAAAAATTAATGAGGTAAAAAGCTACCCCCAAATTTCATTGGTTTAAAATGGCCTACTATACCATATTCCTACCAGTAATCGTTATGCCCTAAAATTTCAAAACAAACCTACACAGTCTTGGGGCCCTAGAGCAATGAATTAAAAGTCAATAGTTCTCAACCTTGGCTGTACATTTAGAATCTGTAGGGGAGCTCTTAAAAAGATACCCAGGCACAGGGTGCTGGGTGGCACAGTCAGTTAAGCCTCTAGCTCTTGGTTTCAGCTCAGGTCATGATCTCAAGGTTGTGAGACTGAGCCCCGTGTCAGGCTCCATGCGTGACAGAGAGTCTGCTTGAGATTCTCTCTCCTTTTCCCTCTGTCCCTCCTGCTCATGCATGAACGAGCATTTTCTCTCTAAAATAAATAAATACATCATTTAAAAAAAAAAAAAAAAAGAGATACTTAGGCTCTTCTCTAGGACAACTAAACCAGAATCTCTAGGAGTAAGACCCAAGCATTAGTAGTTTCTCAGAGTCTGCCAGCTGAATATATTATGTAGTCATGGGTGAAAATATTAATCTAAATGTTTTCAAGGGGCAGGAAAGTGGCTCATTAGTCAAATAGAAAAAATGTAAAAGAAAAGAATATACAGCAGTCTCGGTCTTCCTTTTTTTCAAGCTGACTACCTTTTTCATTAATCAACTGATTTAGTAGTATGCTGTTATTCATTATCCGTTATCTCCACAAATGGGTAATTTAGACTTCATTTATTTCATAGTTTCATAAATACTGTTCTCAGTTAAGTCATACCTACGATTTACGCCATGGTTGCTAAATCCAGCCTGCCACCTGTTTTTGTAAATAGTTTTATTGGAATTCAGCCATACATATCTATTTATGCATTATTGATGGCTGCTTTCATACTACAATTGCAGCACTGGACAGTCATGACAGAAACTACATGAAAGCCTAAATCATCATTTGGCCCTTTAGAGAAAAAAGTTGGCTAATCCCAGGAATAGGCTCATCTACTACCCTCATAACAAATTCCTAATCCAACTTCAATCCAACCAGCCACTTTTTAGCCTCTTATCTAGTGGCACTAAAAATTCATAGTCTTCAACTTGAGATAGGCTCTTAATATGGCCTTAATAATATATTAAGAGCCATTTAATATTAATATATAATATATATAATATATAATTAATATATCAAGAGCCATATAATATGGCTCTTAATAATGGCTGGAATAAGCTTCTACAGGCCCTGATCGTCCTTCCTTCTGGTCCCCACAGAAGCTATTCCAAACATTTATCACTCTTCTCAATTACATTTTCTATACCCATTACTCCCCATTCATTCTCAATGGATGACACTGTCTCCATTTCAGAACCCCAAAAAATAGGTATAAATTATTTCTCCTTCAACAGATTAACACTCTCTAATTCCTCCCCCATCCTCTAATTCTATAATCCACTTAGAAGATCTAAGTTCCAAACCCTGTCAGCTCCAAAATGCTGTACCTTAGAAATATCAGTCTCTGATAACCATCTAGCTGAATAAAATCTCCAGTTCCTTCAGTTCTCAAGCCCTCAGTCCCATTACTCCTATTTTTCTTCTTTGTTGCTTCTCTGACATATATCCAATCAAATCCATCTGGCTGCTAAAACTGTGGGTGGACAGGAATCACCTCTTAGGTGACTCTTGCCTCAAAAATTAGGTCCTACTGAAAATTAACCCTAAAACCCTGTATGTTTTCCAAAACAGAAAATCTTCCTAGACAAATGACTAGATCAAGACCCAAAGATAAATTAAGCTATAATTAAAATAATTTAGATAAAGTAACTATCATTAAATGCAGCCTATTCTACTTCCTTAAGCTGCTGAAGCTGTCATGATCAGTAAAGTTAAATCAATTCATAAGCTGATATTTTTGCAAAGAAGTCCCCACCCCCTCCCTCCAATAGAAAACCAATCTATTGACACTTTCCTTCAAAGGCCTTTCCAAGAACAGCTGCCAAAATATTTTGCTGAAAATATTTTCACATAGAATGACCAGACAAAAAGGAAATGATAACAAAGGAATGCCTGCAACAGAACTTCGTATTTCCTCTTTACAGAATCTTAGCAACGCCTGCAGAATGTACATCATTGAAGGTTTTACCTGGAGGCTAGGATGACAGCCAAAGTCCAATAAAGTCTTCACCACCTGCAGATGGCCTTTATTGACAGCAATATGAAGCGGTGTCTGTCGGCGCTTGTTGCGAGCATTCAAGTCAGCACTGCCTCGGTGCAGCACTTCTATGACAGCGCCTTCGTCTCCAAAAGCTGCATGGTGAACGGCTCTATCTCCATCTTTATCCTAAACGTCAGCATTTAAATCTGAATTAGTGAGGGAATATTTTAGGGAGAAAATAAAACCTAAAGCTCTGTTACATCATTAAGAATTAATGTGAGAAAAGAAAACACAGAAAGGAGTCAACAAAATAACTAGAAATCCACTTGACTAGTGATTAACTCCAAAGATAAATGATGACCCTGGATCAATACACTATGTCACATACATACTGGACCAATACTTATATCAGAAGTAGTCTGATCTTTCATTACTCCTAATTTATCAGCCATGATGATAAGTCAACATTAAGAAAAATGCTAAATTATGATACAAATATATATAAACATTTTTCCATTTAAGAACTGTATTTACAAAGGCTTTTTAATGACACAGAAATTATATAAACATTAGCTAAGTAATTTAAAGAGGAAGAAAGGATGCCAAACTGTGATCTCTATTAACTTTGAGAGAAATACATCAACATATTAACATTGGTTATCTCTAGTTGGTAAGCATATACTTTTCTGTATATTCAAGAAAAAAATTAAGTACCACCTTAAAAGATAAAAATGAAACACAGATCAGCATAATTTCATATATGCATACAACTTCATATATCCAAAATTGAGAGAAATGTCTACTCAAACTATTTCAGAAGAATCAAGTAGGTATGCCTTACCTTTTAAAACAGGCCTATTTCTAGAGAAGGAGAGAAAGACCTGATTGCTTAAAAATTTTTAATATAAGAAACTTTTTTTTTTTTTTTTTTAAAGAGAGAGAGCTTGTGCGAGCATGGGGCAGGGGTGCAGAGAGAAAAGGAGAGAGAATCCCAAGTAGACTCTGCAGAGCCCACTGCCCGACTTGATCTCATAACCTTGAGATCATGACCTGAGCCAAAATCCAGAGTCCAACACTTAACTGACTAAACCGCCCAGGCGCCCCTGTAAGAAATTATTTTTTAAAGGGGGAAAAAATGCCCTACTGCATGAAGATAATATACATAGTCCACATCAAAAAAGAAGGCCTCAGGACTCCTGGGTGGCTCAGTGGGTTGGGCCTCTGCCTTTGGCTCGTGTTATGGTCTCAGGGTCCTGGGATCGGGCCCCACATCGGACTCTCTGCTCAGTGGGGAGCCTGCATCCCTCTCTCTCTACATGCCTCTCTGCCTACTTGTGATCTCTCTCTCTGTCAAGCAAATAAATAAAATCTTAAAAAAAAACAAAAAAAAGTCCCATTACTTTGCTAGATGCAGACAGAGATGGGTATTATAAAGATAATCTCTTTATTCCAGACTACGTCACAAGTTTTAATACCCAGAAGTAAGCACGTTTTAAGACTTTCTCCAAAGCAGTATTTCCAACCTTTAGTCCTACCTCCTCATCGACTCCAGCTTTAGCAAGTGGTTTGAAAATCCATAAAGTACTTGGGATTATTTTAACTACTTTCCACAGATTTAAATTAAAAACAAAACAACAGTTCATTCAAAACAGCTGCTGAATTCAAAACAGTCTTTGGTCTTAGCATATTTTCTCAGACAGATATTTAAAGTAAAACCACTTGTGTAGGAGTCCACAACAATTTGACAACCACTCTTGAAAAGGTAGGAAACTACAACTCAGCAGAACTTCTACCTTCCTAATAATCTAGCTAAGCCAAAGTAGCAGTTTCTGTTACCTATCAACTGTGAGCATAAAGGAACTAGGACACTACCACATGAAAGATTAAAGATGCAACTCATGTGCCTCTGAGTAGCATTATATTTAAACAATCCAGAGAAACAAGCTTTTTACAAAAAAAAATTTTATGTCTACATGTGTATGTGTGTGTATTTTTGTGAGACATAGAGATGAACCTCTCTAGTAGCATGTTACAGAATCTAAGATTTAAGCTCTTCCTACCCTCCAATTTACATTTATTTCTTATAATTTTTAAGCCAATCTAAGTGGTTTTCCTTATGTTAAAAAGAACATCAATCCACTAACACTCACTAAATAAAAACAAGGACTGTTTATGAAATGTACCACATGTTTATGGCTGTTAGGAAACTTATTGTAATGCTGTTATGCAGGTCCTGTCACCAATTCATGTGGGGAATAAAAACACTGAAAAACAAAACCGTGAAAAATAAAAACCCTAAATATGTGTGTGTGTGTGTATCAAGTATATATATTTTATGTATATATTTGCCATATATATGTCAAAATATAAATGAGAAAAATTTATAGAATTTGGAAAATATATGCACTAGAAAATAACAATTTATTTGGATTTTGGTTTTTTTTTTTCCAAATAAAAAACCTCAGTTGCACAAAGATCTTAATAGGGTTTGTTGCTGTCTTGTGAATCCATTTTAAGTATTTCCAATAAACCTAATAAAAAAAGCTCATTATTATGACTCTGATACTAGCACCAAGTGAGATGTTGAGGGACAATATTACAGTAAAGTTATCTGAAAGGATTTCGGCAGGGACCTCAAATTAAATCTAAAACCGATCTTGGTTCTTTCTACCCTCTTACCCCCCCGCTCTTCCTGCTTTCATTCCAGTCTTTCCTAGCATAGCTGACAGAACCACAGACCATATCAAAATCCTATCTGTAACTCATGATTACCTACTTCATGTCCCTGAGCCAAAATATATACAAGCACCAAACCCAATGGCTCTTATGCCTCAATTTATAATCAGATCTCTTTTCTTTTCTCCTATTCTACCACTAATTAATTAAGGCCTTGATTCTCACTCATCTAACTTATAGCCATAGCTTACCAGCCTCCACTTTATCTTACCCCAATCTATTCTTCACACACATACACACACACACCAGAAGTCTCTCTGTAAAGCATTAAACTTATGTTTAAAACCTTTTAATGTAACTCTACTATATAATGAACAAACCTCTTTTAAAACCTACTTCTGCAGACTACACCTGCTGCCGTCATCGTCCCACATACAAAACTCTAATTTACCAACTTATTTGACCCACTATGTCCAAGTACAACTTATTTGACCCCAGATTTCAATGCTCTAATAATTCTCCACTGTCCCTCTCCCCAGCTCCTGGAAACCATCACTCTACTTCCTGTCTCTATGATTCTTGACTACTTTAGGTACTTAACAGCAAAGGAAGAATACAGTATCCGCATTTTTTTAAATTGACATCATGACCTCAACAGGTTCATCTACATTGTAGCAAGAGTCAGAATTTCCTTCAAGACTAAACAATATTCCATATACCACATTTTGTTTAGCCACTCACACATCATTGACACATGGGTTGTTTCCAAGTTTTAGTTATTGTGAATAATGTTATGAATGTGGGTGCAAAAATATCTCTTTAAGACCCTACTTCCAACTCTCTGGGGCATATAACCCAGAAATGGAATTGCTGGATCATACAGTAATTCTATTTCTAACAAAACTCCATATTGTTTTGGAAGAGTTTGTATTGTTATAATGTTATGCTGTTTTCCACAGCAGCTATACCATTTTACATTACCACCAACAGCCCAGAAGGGTTCCAATTTCTCCACATCATCCCCAACACTTTTTTTAAGATTTTATTTATTTATTTATTTATTTATTTATGTGTCAGAGAGAGCAAGTAGCACAAGTTGGGAGGGCAGAGGGAGATGCAAACTCCCCACTGAGCAGGGGGCCCACTGCAAGACTTGATCCCAGGACCCTGGGATCAATACCTGAGCCGAAGGCAGCCACTTAACCGAATGAGCCACCCAGGCAGGCGTCCCTGATTTGTTTTGTATTTTTTTTCAAGATTTTATTTATTCATTTGACAGACAGAGATCATAAGTAGGCAGAGAAGCAGGCAGAGAGAGAGGAGGAAGCAGGTTCCCTGCTGAGCAGAGAGCCCGATGCGGGGCCGGATCCCAGAGCCCTGGGATCATGACCTGAGCCAAAGGCCTTAACCCACTGAGCCACCCAGGTGCCCCTTATATTGTTTTTATAATAGCCATCTGATTAGGTGTGAGGTGGTACCTCATTATGGTTTTGATTTGCATTTCCCTAATGATTTGTGATGTTTAGCATCTTTTTATGTGCTTATAAACCACTCATATATATTCTCTAGAGAAATGTCTACTGAAGTCCCTTGTCCCGTTGTGAATCAGGTTTTTCTGTAGTTGCTGAGTTTTAAGAATTCTCCATAAATTCTGGATATCAACCCATTATCAGACATACAATTTGCCAGTGTTGACCCACATTCTACAAGTTGTCTTTCCATGGTTAATAGTGTCCTTTGGTGCACAGAAGTTTTTAATTTTCACCAAGTCCAATTTGTCTATTTCTTCTTTTGTTGCCTGTGCCTTCAGTGTCATACCCAATAAATTATTGCCAAATCCAATGTCGGGAGCTTTGCCCTTTGTTTTCTTTCAAGAGTTTTATACTTTTAGATTTTACATTTAGGTCTTTGACCTATTGAGTTAATTTCCATAGACAATGTTAAGTAAGAGTCCAACTTCATTCTTTTGTACATAGATACCCTGTTTTTTCAGCACCATTTATTTAAAAGACTGTCCTTTCCCCACTGAATGATCTTGGCACCCTTGTCACAAATTATTTGACTGTGTATGCAAGGATTTGTTACTGGACTCTATTCCATTCCACTGGCTTATGTATCTGTATCTATGCCAGTACCACACTGTTTTGATTATTGTAGCTTTGTAGTAAGTCTGGAAATCAGGAAGAATGAGTCTTCCAAAATTCTGTTATTCTTTTTCAACATGGTTTTGGCTATTTTGAAGTACCTTGAGATGACATACTGAATTACAGGATGAATTTTTCTATTTCTGCAAAAAACATCACTGAGATTATGACAAGGTTTACACTAAATCTGTGCATCAGTTTGGGCAGTTTTGACATCATAATAATACAAATTCTTCCAATCCATGAACATGAAATAAGTTTCCACTTACTTATATCTTCTTTCTTTCAGGAGTACAAGTCTTTCCCCTCTTTGGTTAAATTAATTTCTAAGTACGTTCACTGTACAAGCCTTTCACCTGTTTGGTT